CTGCAGATGGTGACTGCAGCCATGAAATTAAAAGATGCTTGCTCCTTGGAAGGAAAGCCATGACAAATCAAGACATCATATTAAAAAGCAGAGATATCACTTTGCCAACAAAGGTCCATATAGTGAAAGCTATGGTTTTTCCAGTAGTCATGTATAGATGTGAGAGTTGGACCATAAAGACGGTTGATTGCCAAAGAATTGATGCTTTTGAACTGTGGTGTTGGGGAAGACTCTTGAGAGTCCCTTGGCCAGCAAGGAGATCAAACCTCTCAATCCTAAAGGAAATCAACCCTGAATATGCATTGGAAGGACTAATGCTGAAGCTGAAACTCCACTACTTTGGCCACCTGATGTGAAGAGCTGACTCACTGGGAAAGAGCCTGATGCTGGGAAAGATTGAAGGCAAAAGAAGAGGGCAGCAAGGAAGGGATGGTTAGATAGCCCGACTGACTCAACAGACATGAATTTGAGCAAACTCCAGCAGATAGGAGAGGACAGAGGAGCCTGGCGTGCTACAGTCCATGGGGTCGTAAACAGTCAGACCTGACAGTGACTGAAGAACAACCAAAGGGGCTTCCCTCATGGCTCCAGTAGTAAAGAATCCACCTGCAATGCAGGAGATACAGGAGGTGTGGGTTCGATCCCTGGGTCAGGAAGATCCCTTGGAGGAGGAAATGGCAACCCACTCCAGTATTCTTGCCTGGAGAATCCCATGGACAGAGGAGCCTGGCGGGCTACCATCCATGGGGTCAAAAAGAGCTGGACATGACCGAGCATGCATGTGCTACTCTTTCCTCATAAAAGAGACCCCAGAGAGCTCTCTGTGTGTGAAGACTCAGTGGGAGGGCAACCATTTACAAACCAGAAAGAGGGCTCTCACCTGCCGCTGAGTCTGCCAGGATCTTGCTCTTGGACTTCCCAGCCCCCAGAACTGAGAAATTTCTATTTTTTACAAGCCCCCCAGGGTCTTTTATAGCATCCCAAGTAGACTAAGGTGGCTTGTGGAGCATGCGCGTACTCTAGGCCTTTGGGGACTTTCCAAACCTACGGAATCAGAAAGTTCTGTGGAAGATGCTCAGAATCTGTGTTTTTAACGCCCAACTGAGGTGATTCTTATGGCCAGAGAAATTTGGAAATTCTGTTCTATTGAGAAGCTTAATAAATATTGGTTGAGGTTAATGGTTCTCTTTGATCATTATGCCAAATACAATTCCATGAGCATTAACCTGATGTCAGAATGCCCGAATTCCAGCCTTGTTAATTACCATCTAAGTGATTGGGGGCTAGTCCAGTGTTTCTTAAACTTGTCTGCAAGTTAGAATCACAGGGCTTCTTTACCATCTGAGCCACCAGGAAAGCCCACACAGAGTCTCTAAAAAATTTCAAAACCCAGCCCACACCCAAGACCAATTAAATCACATTCTCTAGTGCTGTGACACAGGCATCAGTATTTTTCAACGTTCCTCCTCCCCTCCCCCCGAGTGGTTGATTTCAACACACAAACAAGCTTGGGAATCACTGGACTAATTTACTCTCTTCATTTCATCATGAGTCAAATGTGGACAATAACTTTCATTTGAAAATATTACTCTCATTAATACATGTGAATATATGTTATAAATGATAAAACTTTGTATGTTAGTTGCTCAGTTGTGTCAGACTCTTTTCAACCCCATGGACTCTAGCCATCTAGGCTTCTTGGTCCATGGAATTCTCCAGGCAAGAATACTGGAGTGGCTTGCTATTTCCTTCTCCAGAGGATCTGATCTTCCTGCCAGGACTGAACTGGGGTCTTCCGCATTGCAAGCAGATTCTTTACTGTCTGAGCCACTAGCGAAATCTAAATGATAAAACTTTATATAAACCTAATTATATTTTAGGGTTTAATATATTTTTAATAAAAATTAACAAATGTGCCAGTAATAATTTTAATATTTTTTAATATATATATATTTTAGTGCTTATAATTGTGATGATAAGTTCAACAGTTTAGTGGGATAGATTCAGCTTGTGAAGGAAACCATCATTCAGAAAGCTAACCTTACAATTTTGGTAAATTTAGTGGCCCTGGTTTAAAGCAGTGGTTCTCAGCTCTTACAGTGTATCAACATGTTCCTTGACTGGGGTTTATCCTCAAAGATTTTGACTCCATAGGTCTAGAGTGGGGCTCCAGCAACTACAAGTTTATAAAGATAAACGTGTCATTCTGTTGCCCTGTTGCTATCCATGGTGAGTCTGCTATTTATGTTTAGGCCTGTTGCTTTATCCATGATATTTAGTCATAAATGTTCTACTTGTCTCCTGTCAGAACTCTCTCTTCATCATGTAAGCAGAAAACAGTTTTAGAATAGTTTAAAAAATATCAGAAGCCAGGACTTCCCTGGTGGTCTAGTGGTTAAGAAGCTGCTTGCCAATGTGGGGGACGTGTGTCTGATCCCTGGTGCGGGAAGATTCCACATGCCGTGGGGCAACTAAACCCATGTGCCACAATTACTGAGACTGTGCTCCAGAATCTGCATGCCTAGAGCTGGTACTCTGCCAACAAGGGAAGCGCATGCACCGCAACTAGAGAGTAGCCCCTGCTCGCCCAAACTAGAGATCGAATGCAGCAAAGGAGACCCAGTGCAGCCATAAATAAAATAAAAGCAAAGTAAACAAATTCTGAAGCCATATGGACACCATTCTTTATTGCCAGGACCATTCAATCTTTAATACAATCTGGCAGTGTTTTTTTTTATATCTGAACTGGCTTTCTTGATTTATACTTAACTTTTCTAATGGCTATAATTATTATCTGCTGTTTCTAAAAATTCAGAGAATATGTGGCTCCTCTGCTGACCTGAATCTGTCTCTCTAGGACTGGATCACTTTCAGAATCACTTTCTTCAGCTTCACTGCGCATGGGTAGCACCTGAGAGGCTCATTAACAACGTACACTCTATCCAGACCTGGTGGACTAACCTTTGGTTGAAGCTGAAGATTCTGGATTCTGAGCTACCTGCCTAGGTTATTCCAGCGCACACTGAACTTTGAGAGGTACTGGCTCTGTGGAACTAAGAGGCTGGGGAGGCTTCAGTGAGGCAGAGACACTACGGTAGGGCTCACAGGATCCGGACACAGAACTCTGTAAGGAGCTCTGTATTCTCTTCCTTCCTATGCTTCACCTTTGCGCAAATAATGTTAGGTAACTGTGTGTTTAGGGGCTTCCCTGGTGGCTCAGCTGGTATAGAATCCGTGAGCACTGCGGGAGACCTGGGTTCGATCCCTGGGTTGGGGAGATCCCCTGGAGGAGGAAACAGCAACCCACTCCAGCATTCTTGCCTGGAGAGTCCCGTGGGCAGAGAAGCCTGGCGGGCCCATGGGGTCACAGAGTCGGACACGACTGAGCACCGCACAGCACACAGGTGGTGTAGTGGGAAAGAATCCGTCTGCCAACGCAGGAGATGCAAGAGATGTGAGCTCCGTCTCTGGGTCGGGGAGATCCCCTGAAGAAGGAAATGGCTACATACTCCAGCATTCTTGCCTGGAAAATCCCATGGACAGAGGGCAGTTCAGCTCAGTTCAGTCGCTCAGTCGTGTCCGACTCTTTGCGACCCCATGGACTGCAGCCTGGCGACAGAGGGCAAGGAGAGAACAAAGAGGCAGGCAACTCTAGATTGGTAGGTGGCAGTTAATAGGCAAAGGAACTTACTTCGAAGCCTTGTCTTGGGCGGCTGCAAGATGAGGAGGTGTCCTCAGCTGCCCACCAGAATCTTAAGAGTTTATGTAGAGGCCTTGACAGTGTTCTGTCTTGTATACTATCCAGATGGTCTCAATAAACTTAGCTGTCTCAAGGCTGTGTCCTTGAAACTGTCCCCACTGTGAGAATGGTGGGCAGAACATACATTCCAAGGGAAGGGGAGGGTGGGAGAAGCCTCCAGTTGTGCAGGTCCAACTCCTGGGTAACTGGGGGTCATGTTCTCTGGATGACCTCTTCCAACAGTTGGTAGGCTTGGAGCTTACAGTAAGGCCTATTGACTTCTGTTGCCGATCCCAGCATGGAGACTGGGTCAGAAAAGACACAGTGAACACATTGGTTTACAATGAGGAAATACTCCCTTTCCTTCTCCTTCTGTTTTCCTTTCCTCCTTCATCCTGACCTTTCCCCATATTTGTCTTTTCCCTTGGTTTGTTGGTTTGTGGTCCATTCTTGAGCAAACAGCCATCTAGAGCAGACCTGGATGCAAAAATGAAGAAAAGAAAAAAACCCTCTATATCAGAAATCACATCAATAACAAACAAAACACCCAATTCATCTTTAAATTACACCATTAGCACATTCGAGAATTCACTTGGGTTAATTATTTTTACTGTTATGTATAATTGTATTTGATCCAGCTTTCATTTCATGACTATGCTTTTCATTTACCAGCACCACCCACTCCACTATTCTTGGGCTTCCTTGTGGCTCAGCTGGTGAAGAATCCATCTGCAATGTAGGAGACCTGGGTTTGATCCCTGGGTTGGGAAGATCCCCTAGAGAGGGTAAAGGTTACCCAGTCCAGTATTCTGGCCTGGAGAATTCCACAGACTATATAGTCCATGGCGTCACAAAGAGTCGGACACAACTGAGCGACTTTCCCTTTCACTTTTCACCAGCACTTTAATCCATCCTGAGGCTTCATCTGCCTATGGTTTCAGGTAAACTGTGTTCTTTCTGCAAAACGTGCAGTAAATGATTTTCTACTAAAATATGTTAGCTTGGTAGGAACGCATAAGGATGGATCACTGGATTTTCATATTCTATGTTTTATGTCTTAAAGAAACTTGTGAATTTTTAGTCAATTTTCATGGTAAATCCGTACTGAATAAGCATCGGACTCAACAGTACTTGAAGCCCTAAGAAACTTGAGACTAGACTTCAAAAAAAGTTTACCTTTTCTTCCCTTACAGCTCTTGCTGAGGCATGCCTGCGCTTTTCTTTCCCTCTGCTGCCGCCCAGTTCCCCATTAGCCATCGCCATGGGTTTTGGAGACCTGAAAAGCCCCGCGGGCCTCCAGGTGCTCAACAACCACTTGGCGGACAAGAGCTGCATCGAGTGGTACGCGCCATCAAAAGCAGATGTGGCAGCCTTTGAAGCCATCTCCAGCCCACCACTTGCCAACTTGCGTCATGCCCTCCGTTGGCATAGTCACATCACCTCTTATGAAAAGGAAAAGGCCAGCCTGCCAGGAGTGAAGAAGGCCTTGGGCAAGTACGGCCCTGCTAATGTGTCAGACACTATAGAAAGTGGAGCTACAGATAGTAAAGATAACAATGATGACATTGATCACTTTGGATCTGAGGAGGGGGAGGAAAGTGAAGAAGCCAAGAGGCTAAGAGAAGAGTGCCTTGCACAGTATGAGTCAAAGAAAGCCCAAAATCCAGACCTTGTTGCCAAGTCTTCCATCTTATTAGGTGTGAAACCTTGGGATGGTGACACAGATATAGCAAAACTAGAGGAGTGCATCAGAAGTGTTCAAGAGGATGGCTTGGTCTGGGCCTCTTCTAAACTACTTCTGGTTGGGTATGGCATTAAGAAACTTCAAATACAGTGTGTAGTTGAAATGACAAAGTTGGGACAGACATGCTGGAGGAGCAGATCACTGCTTTTGATGAGTATGTACAGTCTAAGGATGTGGCTGCGTTCAATAAGATCTAAAATTCATTGTGGATCAGTGCCCTTAAATAGAAGTTTGAAAGATTAAAAAGAAAGGTTAGATTGTGTGCACCTGGTAAGTTGCTCAGTTGTGTCCAACTCTTTGTGACCCCACGGACTGAAGCCCTCCAGGCTCCGCTGTCCATGGGATTCTTCAGGCAAGAATACTAGAGTGGGTTGCCATGCCCTCCTCCAGGGGATCTTCCTGATCCAAGGATAGAACCTGAGTCTCTTATGTCTCCTGCACTGGCAGGAGGAGTCTTTACCACTAGTGCCACCTGGAAAGCCCCTAGATCAGGATAAATCTTTTGCATAAAACTCCAATTATAAACACAGCTCTCTGCCCATCTTCCTGCCACTCCCTGCTTCCACAGACAAGTTGTGCTCTTTATTGTGATTTGGAAAAGACTAACCATAATGGCTAAGTCAGTGCTATTCAAATAAGAGCCATAATCATATCCACATCATCTCTATGTTTGTTTAAACTCTGTTACTTCTCATGTGAATTACAGAAATTGCCCCTTGTCCCAGAACAACCCTCCCAACCCATTCTCTAGCCTAAGGCTAACTAAGGTAATCTTTCTAAAATATGCATTTTGCTATTTCTCCCTTTTGCTTAAAATCTTCTGTTGGTCTCCTGTGCTGTGTTCTCTGTTGTTCTGGTCGTCCGGAATGATTTCATTACACACGGAAATTAAATGAGATTCTTAGATTTAATATTAGAGGGCACATAAACCAGTCCTTCCCAGGGCATGGCAGCTAAAAGAGGAGAAGGTCAAGAGCTGCCAGTGGCCATATTCCTCGCCCCATGCAGGAACCGCAAGGAGAAGCAGAGATGAGAGACAGGAACGAGCTGCTGCTTGTGTTGGAAGCCCTGGTTCAAACTGGCCCTAACTCTTATCTGTGCCCCTGTCTTTCCAGAAGTTGCTTGTTCTGTCCTTCCTTGTGTCACATAAGATACCCCAGTACATTCCTGTAACGTCCCTCCTTTCACCTGGGCTTGGAAGTAGGTTTTTGTCACTTGCAAACAAAAGAGGCTTGGTTCAGACAGCTTGTAAGGAAAAATACAACTGCTCCTGATACACAGCGAGCACTCTGTTCATCCTTGTCATGGTCACTTGCCTGATTTCAGCATCATCCCTGTGACAAAAGGATACGCAGTCCTCTTAGGTTACATTAGTACAGAGCTGGCACTTAAGAACTAGTGCCTGGCAATGTAACCAACATTAGTGCAACTGGAGAAGAAAAAGATAATAGCTTGTAAGGCCCTTCCTGATATGGCCCCAGATGATCAAATCACAGTCTCCATATAACTCTTAGGAAGATGCTCAGCGTCAAGTAATAGAACAGAGACAAACAGACTTACAAGGCATTCTATTCCCTCTTGTACCAAGAAGGGTAGACAAACATAGTGCTGGGAATGCTTTATCAGCTCAACTAAACGGGGCTTCCCAGGGGGCTCAGTGGTAAGGAATCTGCTGCCAAGCCGGAGCTACAGGAGACAAGGTTCGATCCCGAGGTCAGGAAGATCCCCTGGAAAAGGAAAGTGCTCCCCACTCCTGTTTTCTTGCCTGGAGAATCCCATGGATAGAGGAGCCTGGAGGGCTACAGTCCATGGGTCACAAAGAGTTGGACACCACTTCGCGACTAAACAACAAAATGTTAATGCCTTAGCTCTTTGCGATTTGAGTCTTTTCTTGATCCCAAGACGGGCGTAGCAGCTCCAGATAGTCTTTAAGACTTATGTGAGCATCTTCAATAAGGAAGCAGAGTGCAACAGCTTTCTCCTTGGGAGGGTCTGCTTTTAGCCTGGAAAGGAAGCCTTTCCTGACTGGTCCTTAGATCTCATTGGCCAGCACTGGATCACATGCTCAATCCTAGACTGATGATTGTGAAGTGAAAAGTACATTCATTCATTCTCTAGCTGGCCATAAATCCCTGGACCTGTGCTAGTTATTGGAGGCTTTGTTAGCAGAGAATAGAAAGTGGAGTTGTGTATAGTGAGAAGCTATATCTCCCATACATATATTTCTATTACCACCATCATTACCACCCCAGTTCTAAAAGCCAGTCTAATTGAACTGCCTTCAGCACTCAAACACGCTATCTTCTCTGTGGTGTCTGGGTCTTTGCACATGACTTTTGCTTTACCCACAACACACTGTCTTTGCTTCATTTACTAAGATCTTGGTCTGAATAGCTCCTACTTCTCCTTTTAGGCCTCAGTTTCAATACCACTTCCTTTGAAAAGTCTTCCCTGATCCCCAGTTCTCTAGTACCCTTTTGTTATTCCTGTCTTAGACCCTGTCAAACTGCAGATCTTCCTCGACTTATGATAGGGCTGTGTCCTGATGAAACCACTGTAAGTAGAAAATATTGTAAGTCAAAAATGTATTTAATACACCTAACTTACTGAACATCATAGCTTAGTCCAGCCTACCTTAAATGTTCTTAGAAAACTTACATTAGACTACAGTTGGGCAAAATCATCTAACACAAAGCCTATTTGATAATAAAGTGTTGAATAACTCACATAACTTATTGAATACTGTACTGAAAGTAAAAAATACAATGTTTGTCTGGATATAGCATGGTTGTGATTGCATGACTGACTGGGAACAGCCTGGTGTCACAAGACAGTATTGTGCCAGATACTGCCAGCACAGGAACAGATCAAAATTCAAAGTATAGTTTCTGTTGAATGTGTATCACTTTTGTACTATCACAAATCGAACTATTATAAGTTGGGGACTGTTTGTATATTGTAATTTTCTGTCTACTTATTTATATTCCCTACTAGATTGTAATCTTTTGATGGTTTATTGACTGAGTCTTATTTCTCTATGACCTCACCTAGAACTTGTACATAGTAGGTGATCAATAGATATTTGTAAAAGTAGTAATAAATGGAGTGAAGCACTTTTGGGGTGCACTCAAAATCAACATGTGTTAGAACCACTTAAAAAAGGTCACGGGGACATAGATGTTAATTTACTTCTGATTTTTGTTCAAAGAAATAAAAGAGTGTTTTGTTTAAAAAAATTCCTTGCAGACATTTACATTTAAAAGCTTTTGCCATGGTGATTTCCAAAGAAAGAGAATGGAGAAGGATGATTTCTTGCTCAGGTAGGGATATATTTATTTTGCTTGTCTTACACAAAAACTAAAGATTCTAAGAGTTTTCAAATGGTCTTTGACTAGTTTTTCAGACATATTTTTGCATATGTATTCATAACATAGAAACTAAATGTAGCTGCTAAATGAAATCACTTGAATTTTATAAGATGCTATCTTATTCTGTAACTACTTGATACCATTAGGAAAAAGCAACAATGTGACATGACGTGACACTTTCAACTCCTTTTGTAAGCAGATACATTTAAGTAAACTCTGGGAGTTTGTGATTGACAGGGAGGCCTGGCGTGCTGCAGTCCACGGTGTCGCAAAGAGTTGGACACAACTGAGCTACTGAACTGAACTGAAATTTAAATAAGGACTGAACGAATGAATGAAATTAAGTGGGAAACAATAATGACCAAATTTGATTAATATAATAGACATCATTTCAAAATTTTAGCACTCTGAAGTTCAATATTGAGATTGTAATTTATATGAAACATTCATTCACAACTTTTTAAAAAGAGAATTTACCAAGCACGATGAATTGAGGCCTTTTAGGATTTTCAGTGTAGTATTGCCACTTTCGGAGAAGGCAATGGCAACTCATTCCAGGACTCTTGCCTGGAAAATCCCATGGACAGAGGAGCCTGGGAGGCTGTAGTCCATGGGGTCCTGAAGAGTCGGACATGACTGAACGACTTCACTTTCACGTTTTACTTTCATGGATTGGAGAAGGAAATGGCAGCCCACTCCAGTGTTCTTACCTGGAGAATCCCAGGGATGGCGGAGCCTGGTGGGCTGCCATCTATGGGGTCGCACAGAGTCGGATATGACTGAAGGAACTGAGCAGCAGCAGCAGCACTGCCACTTTCGTGTGTCGTACCCTGGTATATTTTGTCAGAGAGCACCCCAAAAGCTGCCCATTTGGAGTGGGGCCCAGAGTCGGAGGAGGTTGTCTACCTGGCCTTAGATGCAAGGCAAGCATCTCTGCCTTGGCTCTAGGGAGCTAGTGGGTCCAGTGTGGCTGGAATGGTCTGTGATTCTTCTGAAAACTGTATGGAACCTATGCCAAGCCCCAACAAGACCATCGCAGAAGAGACCTTTTCTGTTTGGGAAAATGCAAAGGCTAGTTTAGTAAGTGAGTCTTCATTTTGAGAAATGACTCCTGGCTTATTGCTAGGCTCATATAGAGGCTGAATCATTCAACCGTCTGGCATAAGATGGCCATAGTACCTCAGTTCCTGACCTGAAACGGTATTGTCTCAGACACTTAGCATAATGCCAGCCATTCCCAGCAGTAATCCACATCAAGCAGATTGAGATGAAAGAGAAACCTATAAGGCTGAGTCTAGGGGAAGCCTAAAAACACAGGTAACTTGTAGAGCAAGCAGTTGCACGTCTACATTACACGTTCTTCCTTATGTCTCCTGGGAGCCTCCTAGGACTAGTGGACCAGGGAGAGAGTAGCCTGAACCTGGTGTGCCAATGGCTTTGCAAGGTGCACTGGCAGCAGACACACGGGAGGAAGTGCTGCTGGTCGTCAGGGTGGCCCCGACTACAACTGAGAAGTTAAGTGCTTACAAGGGTTAAATTTTGAGCAGTACTTTTATGACTCACTCTGTCTAGAAAGGAACACATTATTGTCTGTGCTTTACCTGAGATCAGGATCTGAGCTGATTCTTGAGCTTTTTATTTGGCACAGAGGTGATATTCAAGATCTGTGATAAGAAAGGCAGTTGGAATGTAGCAGTGAAACTGGGGCTGAAGACCCTCCTTGTGGTGCCAGATGTTCACCCCTTTATTGCTGGATGGTAGGGAGTCAGAGATGTTGCTGAGGGAAGAACCAGAGTGACTTTGGCAATGGTGGATATAACGGGGGAAGG